GACGTGGGCTCGGAGTAACAATATGATCCCTCCCTGAAGAGCAGAGTTGATGGGTTTCATTCACTTATTCCACGAATAACTTATTGAGCACCTACTATGTGTCAGGCACTATTCTAGATGCTGGAGATTCAGTTGTGAAACAACAAAATGAAATTCCTTGCCTTTACCGAGTGGACGTTCTATAGCAGTGCTGACCAGTAGAGATGTAATATGAGCACATAAATAATTGTAAATTTTTTAGTAAGCCTCCTTAAATAAAAGTTAAAGAAATAGATGCAATTGATTTTATTATATAATTTACTTAGGCAAATGTATCCAAACTATTACAATTTCGATGTGTTGTTCATTTAACAATATGAGATAAATCCTTCCCTTTCACATCATGTTACTGAAACCCAGAGTGTCTTTCAGACAGCTCAATTCAGATGAGTCACATTTCAAGGGCTCAGTAGCCCTTAGAGAATGCAGTCCTGGAGGAAATGGCTCATCTAAACGCAAGAGAAAGGAATGCCACAATTGATTAGTGATGTCTGTATGGGCTGGGGCAAAGGTGGATGAATTGCAGGTCCTGAGTTTACCCTCCTCCACCTCTTCCTCTGTGCTGTAGGACCAACCCCAAGCATATGTTTACCTTTACCCACAGCCCCATCACCATCAGTCCATCCATTTGGCCTGCCCTGAAATAGCTGCCATTTTGAGTTCTGAGCCCTGGACCCTTCAGGGGCCCAGCAATTCTGGCACGGGCACCATTCTGCAAAGAGGTTCTAACATGCTAACAAGGCAAGTGCCTCCTGGGTGTGGTCCTGGGCTCTTTACTCTGTGGAGTTGGCTCATGGCCACTGGTGACCCTGAGAATGTGGGTTTTGTTTTGTTTGTTTCCCAAGGTCTCTTCTTCCTGAATCTAACCAGTACCAACATAAAAAGGCTTCCTGAGCCTGATTTAGCCACTCTAGCCCCACTACACAGGCCCCCACCCACAGACCTCCTGTCATCCTGGCACCCTCACGGGGGTCACCCACCCTAACTGAGATCATTCCACATTCTTTCCCACATAATGAGAGGCTAAGATAAGGCTACAGAAGGAGCTAGAAATAACCAAAGATGGGAATGGGCTGTTTGGGTTAAGACAGATAGGAATGGGATACAACAAGAACTAGATCTCAGGCCTCAATTGTTCTTACCATCATTATCATCACCATCTCCTCGACCCCTGCTCAAAATCCTTCAGTGTCTCCCTAGTACCTACCTGCAAGATAAAGATCTAGGGCCTTCGTTCCCAGGATTTGACATTGACAGAACCATCTGCTCTCACCTCCACTCTCCCTTCTTTTATCTTATTCATACATTCAACAGATTCTATGGAGCACCATGATGGGCCAGGTGTTGGTGTGGTATGAACAAAACTGATCAGGAGTCCTGGCTTCATGGAGCTCACTGCATTCTAGCCAGGCCCTAGTCATCCCATGGTATTGTTGTAGGAAACAGACTGGTGGAGAAGCAGCCAGGAGACCTCGGGAGGAGGAGAACTCCAAACTTTATTTTACACCAGTGGGCCCAGAGGAGAACAAACTCCAAATTCTGAATCCTGATCCACAGTTTCCTCACAACATGTATAGATTATTTGGCATCTTTTTAGATCCATCCTATCATTGGGCTTCTTCCCTCTTGCAAAAAAAAAAAAAAAAAAAATCCTAATCTATGTGACTGAAGACCTTGTGCAAGGTCTCTTAACATAAGGCATGCTTACAGAAACAGATAAGAAGAAAGGGCTCTTTTCACAGGCATCTGTTAAATCTCTAGCCTTGAAAGCCTGGCACAGGGGTGTTTACATTTCAAGAGGGAGTAGTCAGGCTCCTAGAGAGAGTTATTTACAACCCAAAAAGGTAGAGACCCATGGATAATTAGTGTTCCTGAAGAAAGGCTGACAGAGGCAGAAAAACTGACCCTTTCCCCAGGCGTTGGTTTCTTACCATAATGTTTTTCAACCAGGTCTGGATTTGCCATCACATTCCCTCTCCTTATAGATGATTTCTGTGCATTTTCCAAGCCCTTGCTCAAAGCCTTCCCTGAGCAACGCCAGGTGGATTAGGTGCCCCCCTCTGATCTCCCACCTCCAGCCTAGAATCATCCTGTGGATGTCATCATTCAGCCCCATGTTTCCCTCCCCTACCAGTGTCTCAAGAGCAGGGACAGTGCCTTTTCTTCTGGGACCCCAGGGTCTACTTTTAGATGCACCTCTAAAGAATTCTTCTTCCCCACAGCTCTGGGGTGAGCAGGCTAAGGCATGGGGTGGTGGGGGGCAGGACTCCTATGGAGATTTCCAGGCCATTCTGAAACCTCCACGTGGGAGCATCCTCCTCTTGCATTCCAAAGGAGCAAATTAGGGGTGAAGCTGTAAACAGGTTCCAGCAAAGGCAGGGCATGAATGGAGACAGGACCTGCTGGCCTTTAAGTGGAGAGAGCAATTAAAAGGTTTTAGGTAGCAGAGAGACAAGACAGCCATGGCCTCTCTCAGGGGAGAGTTGATGGCAGGATGTGTGGAGAGAGGGTAGACCTGAGTGGCCAGCCCTGCACCATCTCCCAGGAGGGCTGAATACTGGGCATTCACAGCCTCATCCCTTCTCTGCCTCCCAAAGAGGATGCACAAAACAGAGGGCAGGATAGGCCTGGCTCCTGTCCCCAGTCAACGTTGGCACTGTGGGTATCTCTGCAGATCCTCCTACCACCAAGCCCAGCCTAACAGTCCTACCCACCCACTGCCAGCCAGAGGCCCCTGGAGCTGCATGCCCATCAGGGCAAACAGACAGGAGCCTTGTGCCCGGCAGCCCCCTCCCTGATGGCTCATTTACATGGGATTTACATGGGCTCATTTCATGCCTCGATGCGCATGGCTTCCCGCCTAACCCAGCCTCTCCCAGTGCCTCTGTGGAGACAAAGGAGTGTGCTCCATCCCTCAAGTCCCTTCCACAGGCCCATCCAGACATCAAGAGCATCCCTGAAGGAAAGAAAGAGACTCTGAGATCCAGAGTGGGCAGGGACCACCCTGGAGGTCTCCCAGCAATTGGAGGGACAGGGCTTGACCCACACTTTCTTCACTAGCTACTCTGCTCTCTTGGGGCTGGACCCAGTCCTCCCACCATTTGCTTTGCCTCCAGCTGAGGGCTCACTGAGGGGGAAGATGTGAAGCCCCTCTGCTGCTGTTGCTTGGCTGTGAGCTGGGAAACAAGCCAACCGCCAAGACCAGATGAGCACATGAAGGAAATGAGGCTCAGAGAAGGCAAGGGCCTGCCCACGACCACCAAGGGGAACAGCAGCCAAGGCCTCTTGCCCCAGCACAGGGCTCATCTAGATTCTTCAAATTCCCAAAGATTCCTGGTCCAGAGCACCTGCTGCCACCTTGGTCACCCTGGGAAGGCTGGGTGTGGAAGGAACTGGGAAGAATTCTCAGTCCTGGGTTGACCCAGAAGAGTCCAGAAGAGAACGAAGTGGAGAGGGAATGCTGTGAGTGGGGCCATTCCAGTCCTGTGGGGTCTGCCAGAAGCTGGGCTGACTCAGAGTGGGGAACTGTCCCGAGGCTGCCATGCACCCCCAGCCCCCACCAGCTATTACTTCTCAGGAAAAGCTCCCAACAAATTTCCAAAGGTTCCCCACTATACCACGGGCAGGGGCAGGCAACAAAGAGAAGGGAGCAAAACCAAGCAAAGAGAGGGAGGGAAGGTCTCTGAGGGATAGCTGGGCTCCTCTCTGCAGCCCCCCTCCCACTGTCTCCACCCTCCATCCCAGAACCATTGCCCTTGTCCTGGCCTCCATCCATGGAACAGCTCCCAATCCCCTCCTCCACTCTGCCCCCTCTCTGGCCCTGTGTCCTCTGCACACAGCCCTTGCCTAGACCCCTACCTTGCCTGGCAGCCCAGCCTGGAGTGAACATGCATTCCTTCCCCCAGCTGAGGCCACCAGCCTTCAGTGCACGCATTTCTATGAAGGTATCTCAGGGGGCCCTATTTGATCAGTTATTCCTCCCAGAACCGCTCCTTGAAGGCAGGGAGGCCTGAGGCTGTTTCTAGCCTGGCCCAGGCCTGGCCTCCCAGGGGAAGCAGTCTAGGTGGAAGCTGGGAAGACAGAAAGAGGTGCAGGAAACATTGGGGCTTCAAGGTTAAGGCTTGGGGGAGCAGCACACTGCAGGAAGTTGTATGTTAAGATCCTCATCCCTGCCTCTCACTAGCTGGGGCTCTCTGAGCCAGCTCCCAGGGTCTATTAAGGAAGTGTGAGGACATGTGTGGTGCTCACACAGGGAGGAGATACCAGTAGCAAACAGGAGTCCTCACTCGCCCCCACCCCGTCAGGACAGCTTTGCAGGCAGGGAACAGGCACAGGTAAATAAATAGCTCGTTTATTAGTAATATGTTACATTATTAAAGTGCATTGAGAAGAGATACAGGGCGGAAGCTAGAAGGCCACCAGCCCCAGGCCCTGCCCCAGACACAGCTGGAGAAGGGCCCAGCTCTTTGCTGAAATCCATGGACTAGGGGTATGGCCGTCCACTTGGAGAGCTTGGCCCAGGCCATCCCCACTGGAATTTTCACAGTTTAGCCTAAGTTATAACATGTCCTGAGCTGAAGGTGGGAGGCTAGGAGCATGGAAGCACAGCCCCTGGGGAAGGGGGCTGAGAGGAAGGGAGGATGCTCCCTGCCCCCCAACCCCCAATGCCAAGGGCAGAGTCCTGGAACCTCCCCCAAGGACCCGGCTCCTCCTTCTAAATGAATGTGGCGAACCTAGGGCTCAGTTTTCTCCTTCATTCTCCCCTGTCTCCCTCACCCCCACCCCCAGGACCCCCCCACACCAGGGGCTCGCGCCCTCAGGCTGGGCTCCTGGGGCAGAGCCAGCTCATGCCACTCTCCTAGAACCCATGCCTGTCCCTGGACTCTTATCCCAACCCCAGGAGCCTCAGACTGGGACCAGCGCCCACCCCACCCTTCCCTGCCCCTCCCTCTCCCCCCCCCCCCAGCATGTAGTTTTGGTATTTTCATACAGATGCAGTCAGAAGTAGCTATACATGAAATAAGCCTAACATAAAAATAGAGCTTTTTCCGTCCTTCCGTCCGGAAAGCAAACATCCTTCAATAAACATGCAAGGCGACTGTTCAGTGGGACCCAGACTGTGACGGAGCTGCAGAGGGCGGGGCCTGGCAGGGCAGCCCTGGGTATGTAGGGACACTAGCCATCCAGACATGGAGGAAGGAGGTAAGGAAGACTGCAATTGGGTACAGAGTCCAGAAGGACTCAGGCCTCAGCCCCAAGGTCCAGAGGTGGGGATCCAGGTCCTTTCCCAAACCCACATGCCGGCCCAAAGGCTCTCAAGCCAGGAGCATCGCTGCATTTAGTCAAGTGTGAGGAGTTTTTGAAAAATATTCTCCAGAAGATAAAGTCTTGGGTCACTGCCACCCCACTTCACAGTTAGTGCCTTCATTCTCTGGCCCCCCTCCACCCCCATCCCACTTGGGGCCCAGCAGCCGCCTGCGGCTGGACATCTCCAGGCCTTTGGTCCCCTATTGGGTTATTCAGTCCCCCTGGAAGAAACAGCAGGCAAGGAGCTTCCGGGCCAGCCGGCTCTGAATGCGAGACCTTTCCAGTGTCCCTGGGCTGCAGAAGCCTGGGACATTTCTAGCCCCTGGAGGTACTAGTGAACCAGGAGGCTAAGAACAAGCGTGGGCAGGATCCCCAGCCAAATGGAGGCGGCCAGGGCACGGGCACGGCCCATCAGTTGCTCGGCCAGGGCACGGTCCTCAGGCAGCAGCTCCCAGTGCTGAGCCTCACGGAGGTAGGAGCCCTCCTGGGCCTCGCAGCGGTAATGGCCATACTGGCGGGCCGTGAGGTTCTCAATGAACAAGATGCAGTTGGGACTCTGGTGGCCAGGCTCACAGCTCTGTTCCACGTTCTCCTCATGGCGCCATGAGTAGGTGGCATGGCGGGACTCCATGGGGCAGCTCAGGTAGTAGCGAGAGTTCCGGGCCAGAGAAACCTTCTGCAGCGGGGCCTCATCTGGGAAGACAGTGGAGAAGCTGTAAGGAGGGGTTGAGGGATCCTAAGGGAGGCTGTGTCCTCCCATGAAGACTGAGCTTCTAGGGCAAGGCTTCTGAGTGAACATGGGACCCAGTTCCTAGATTTCTCTTCTGTTCTCCCACAATCCTCATTCCATCCCTCTCAAAAGCAGCATAGGGCTCCCTTGGCCAGACTGTCCTGCCCCATCTGCCTGGAGCCTGCAGGTCACACTCATGTCTCCCTCAGACCAAAGCTACCAGGGGCACAGATGTACTTCACTCATGGAACTGTGGCCTGTGGGGCTAGATCAGGTACCTGGTTTTGGGTTGGGACACTCTTTGTGTGGCTCCATTGGATTCATGGATTGCAGCACTGACCTGGAGTTGGAAGAAGAGAGGCTCAGATGGGAGGCTGCAGCCAGGCCCCTGGCCTGACCTCACTCCTTACACAGTATTGGCAAAGAGAAGAGTCTGGCCAAAATGGCCCCACAACAACACCTCCTGCAGCCCTTCAACACCACCCCCACTCCCATGTCCACCTTCTCCCAGGGCCAAGAAACCCCAAGCAATATACCGTTGGGAGCTGTAGATGGACACGCAGTGATCCTGGTCCCAGCCGCAGTAGGGGTCTCGGGACATGAGGCATCCATGGCAGCCCCCACCGTAGACCTCACACAGGTCCAGGGGCACTTGGCTCACCTCCCACTGGGAACTCACATATAGCTTCCGCTGGAAAGAAAACAAGACCGGGTCAGGACAGGGCCACTATGCTGAATCCTAAGCTCCCAGACAAGGGGTCCTGTGGCCGGGCAGGCCCTAAGGATCAAAGGATCTTAGAATGACATGCAAAACACATGCACACTGGCTGTCAGGATAGCCCCACAGAACCAGAGCAGGGGTGGGGAGGCTCACCCGGTCAGCATCCAGAGACATGGCCTGGATAGCAGCCGCACGGCGGAAGGGCTGGATCTCCATGATGTTGAAGACGAGGTTGTGCTCCCGCTCCCCTGACTCCACCACCTTGTGGATGGTGCCCCTGTCTGTGGACAGTGGGCAGAGGGTCAGCAGGCAAGGGCTCTACATCAGAGCTGGGCAGCCTCCCTCGAGGCTGGGTACTGGGAAAGACGGGATGGGGAGGGGTAGGAAGTTGTGACTCAGGCAAGGGTCACAGGACTGGGGTGGAGTGGGGTGAGGAGAGTGTGACTGGGAAGGAACGCAAAGCCCAAGGGCAGCCGGGAAGTTTCCAAGGCTAGTCCTGAGCAGCCATTCCAGGAGGCCTAGCGCTCTTCCAAGAGGAGCCCCAATGTGCCCGAGGCTGCAGCGTGAAGGGCAAACCAGGAGTCCCACGCTCATGCATTACCTCTGTCACCCCTCCACAACCCTTCCAGATGGACATTCTCTTCCCACTTCACAGATAAGGGAAAGAAACTCAGAAAAGTAACCAACTATTTCAGGGTCACATGGCTGGTGATCAGAAGAGAACAAGCTGGAACCTTGACCTGTCAGAACCCCACCCCTCAGCTTCTTCCAAGACTCCCCTCACTCCTGGACTCTTAGAAGATATATTTTCTTTAAATAATTTTTTTTTATTTTGTAACAATGCTAGATTTCCAGAAAAGTTGCAAAGATAGTACAGAGAGTTCCTGTCTAGCCTTCCCCCAGTTTCCCCTAATGTGACTGCCTTACATAACAATGGCACATTTGTCACAACTAAGCAATTGACATTGGTGCATTACTATTCTCTAAACTGCAGACTTCATTTGGATTTCACGGGTTTTTCCACTAATGTCCTTCTTTTGTTCCAGGATCCAATCCAGTACTCCACAATGCATTTAGTCTTAGGGGATATTTTAATTTTTTCAAAATCTTAGATCTGAAAAGAACCTTAGATTCCTTATAAGGACTCCCCAAGGTCACATAAGCAGGCTGCTCGCTACACCAATACTCTCTCCAATCTCCATTGGCACCTGTTGGGGACTAATGGGCATCCTGACCCCTGTTCTTCCTAATCCCACCTCACCTGCTGTCCCAGTTTCTAGAATAGCCTCCTTCCCTTTCTCCTTCCCTCCCCATTTCCCAGGGCATCACCTGCCCCCCAAAAAGCAGTCAGATGATTGCCTGCCTGGGACAGTTTCTCTCTAGGTCTCTGTGATTCTCATCTGAAGATTCTAAGTTCTGGCCAGAGGCTCCTTGGACCTAATAAACCCCCAGCCCAGTCACTATCTCTTTCTCTCTTTCTCTTTCTCTCTTTCCCTCTCTCTCTCTCTCTCATGCACACGCACACACACACACACAAAGCCCTCCTTCTGCCTACTTCTAAACAGGTCCAGGAACACCTCCTTGGTAAACTTCTCAGGAACAGAGTCAATAATTTCTCCCAGTAACCTCCCTCCATTCAAAAAGTTCTAGCCCCAATATTTCCAAATGCTGCAGGCTCCAAAATAGTACCTCTCACATGGCCCTCAAGGAGAACCAGACACCTCCCCTAATCCCTGAGTGTGCTGGCAGCCCAGGTGTGCAGGAAGTCCACTTAAGTCTGGCCTTTCCTGTCCTGATTCCTGCTCCCAATCCTGTATTGTGACTTCTTCAGCCCTACTCCCAGTGCCCTGCCATCCCCTGACTAACCACAACAGCTAGGCCATGTACTGTGAAGGCAAAGCAAGGACAAAGAGCCTGTGAAGCCAGAATAAATGGAAGGATAAAGGGATGGAATCTCAGGACCCAGAGCTCAGGTCCTGCCCCATGGGAAATTCTTCTCCTTGAGGCTTCCAGAAGCCAAACAATGGCCCTGGACTTTCGCTTCCAATCAGGCCACCACAGCCCAGATAGCCCCAAGGTGAAACAGCAGCAGAAAGTCACATGGGGGATTGTGAATCATTGAGGGTGGGTGTCTGGGACCTAAATGGGTGGCCCCAGAGGTGCTAGGGTCCTTTCTAGTCTGAGGAAAGCCTGCAGCCCTGGCCCCCACTGGCCTCCAAGCCCACTCCCAGGATCCATCCTGGCCCACAGTCTGAGACCAGGAAGCTGCCACAAACCCAGTTCAGGGCTGATTCCTCCATGCCCAGCAGTTTTCCAGAATGCAGAACCATCTCCCAGGGCATTCCACCCAACTTCTCCCAGGAAGGCCTCCAGGGAAGAGGAGAGGTTACTCCAGTCCTCTGTGAGGCTTTGTCATGGCTCTCCCGTCTAGAACTCCATCCTCATGTTCTCGAATGTATTGTCTCATCCACACAATCCCCAAGTCAGGGAAAGGGTCTGTGGTCCTCATCCTACCCGGCAGGGACTCTCAGGAAGCTCAGTTCCCAGGCCCCTCCTCCTGACTTTCCACATCTCTTTTCACCATCTTATTCCCTGAGACAAACATCTGAACCAAAGCTATACTGGGCTTCATTCAGACTTGTCACATTTCTACCCAAATTCTGTGTGCTCTTCTCTCATCCTAGATGTCTCCTACTTTTCCCTCTGCCTTGCCTCTTCTAGGAAGCCCTCCGCACTTTCCTGATCTTCCCCAACCCCATGCACTAATCTCTGAAAGCTACAGCCAATCAATTCTTCCTTCCACATATGAATATCCATCCAAATGTTACCTATGTTCTTCTTTATACCATTCACATCCATTTTTACAAAGCAAACCAGGGGGTCCCAGGGTAGCCCCTCACCTGTGGTTAAGTAAAGCACATGGAAGGTCTCCCCATGGCTGGCTTGCATGCGGTGGACAGCCACTTTCTGGTAGTGGTACTTAGAGTGGAATAGTGGTGTCTTCAGTGGCCCCATGGGCTCCACCCTCTGCGCCACTTCAGGGTGACTGTCAGCCACCTGGAAGGTCTCTGTGGGTATCGGCTGCTGGTCTGGGAGGCACTAAGGAAAGCAAGCCTGGGTCAGTCAGATGGCTGGGAGGGGACTTAGGAGAGGGCTGGGACCTGGGTCACAGCTGGTATTACGGCTCACCTTGCCAGGCCGAGGGTTGGGAAGGCCCATGTGGTAGCCCTTAAGTGAGGAAGTGCGGAAGACCTTGTCAATGTCACCGAGGGAATACACACAAACAGCAGAGTAGTTCCTGCAGGGACACAGAGACCACCTCAATAGGGGGCCCAGGACCCACCCAACCCCACTCATCCAGACCAGCCACATTCGAAGGTGGGCCATATCCACAGTTCCCTGGTCTGTGAGCCAGGACTATCTTTGGAGCCAAACTCACAGCATCACCAAACACCAATGGAGAAAGGCAGGAGGGAGAGAAGTTCAACCTAATTTTTCTCCCCTGACATCTAAAACCACAACCTTATGCTCTGCGCTACAGTATCACTGAATTCAGAGGCCACCTCTACCCAATGTCAAGGCAGGAGGAATCCCAACATGAGCTGGGTGACTCTCTTCTCTAGACTCCCTGGGCACAGGATGCAGAGTGTTGATGTTCCAGGAAGCAAGACCCCTATCCCTCCCCAGTTGGTGGCTCCACCACACAGGGAACCACAGAGCAGGGTCTTAGCTCCCCAGCACTTTTGTCTGCCTTGTTTTCCATCAATGAGAGCGATTAAGAAGTGTGAATTATCAGGCGCAGGCGATGCATGAGCAGGTGTGATAGCACCCAGCACCCAGCACCCCAGGAGAGGCCTCAGCAGCCTTTCCCAGGGCTCTGAGCATACACATGGTAAGACACACAGGCATGAGTGTGCATATGATGCATGACCACACACCATGTGTACATGATCACGACCAACAGTACACACGTTTACACTGCCTACTCCTACCCCACACCCAGCAGTAGCCCTGTCACTGAGCTTGTGATCCCTGCTCAGGCCACATCAGCAGGGCCCAACACTAAGATCCCTATTGGACATATCTAATGCCAGCCTCAGTCCCAGGATGAAGGTCTCTTACCAGGGATTGGAGAAAACTCCATAGACTCTGGTGTCCCTCCACTGGCCACTGGGGTCAGGGAGAAGGAAGACATCTTGCAATCGGTTAAAGTTCTTGTTGGTGGCAGCATCGCTGCACACAAGCATGGCTTTCAGGAAGGTATTCCACTTGGAGACTGACAGTGAACTTTCACCACCTTGGTCTCCCTAGAAGGACAGAGGAAAGAGGTGATTTCTCAGAATTTGCCTGGCTGCCCCACACACCCGAGGCATCTGCTATGAGGAATGTCAGCCTTAGGGCTATGGAGGAGAAGGACAAGCTGTAAAGGGGTCAGAATTTTCCAGGGAGAGCATAGGCAGGTTTTCAGGTCAGGCTCCAGTCATAGGCCTGGTTGACCAAAGGCACAGGGCACACAGTGAGGTCCTGATGCTGAGAGTGCTCGGTCCCCACACAACACACAGGCTCAGACACACATCTGACCCCCCCACACACACACAGGGCACAGCTTATTCATATAAGCAAAACACACTCATCAACACACTGTCACTCACATACTCGGGCACATCACATATGCACATGAGCTCAACCATCTTTATCCACTCAGACGCATGATGATCTGTGCACCCACATTTGCCCCCACAGCCCCACACACAGACTCACGCAAGCGCGCACATCCTCACTCACTCCTATTTGTGTGTAGACACATACTCACCTACTCATCCCCCCTCACACACCCACTCACCCTGCACAGCTGGGCTACACGGGATACGTTAAGAGGTGCCTCGGGATTCTTGTCAGGATTGTCTTCCCGGAAGAAGTAGTAGATCTTGTCATCGTAGGCTTGGTCTTGGTGCACGATGGTAGCCTTGATGAATTGCGGGTCTGCCAGGGACACAGGTGAACAGGTGTGAGGCTGGGGAGCCTGCATGAGGGACCCACACCAACCCTGCCACGCTTTCCCAGGGTCTACACAAGCCCAGGGCAAATTATACCTGGAATAAACTCAGAACACAAAGTCCAACACCCCAAGAGGCCCTAGACTCTGCAGCACCACTCCACACCTGTTTTGCCCTCCTCCTACAATAAGATGTCATCGGCCCAGGAGCAATGACTTCATGCCTGGGGACTGGGGGAAAGTCCCTGGGGACTCCCAGGTCACTTCTGCCTAATTGGCAGAGCCTTAATAAGGAGAGGGGTGGCCCCCCTAGGAGCTCAGTAGAGGGATGAACTTTGGTCTGGGCTTCCTCTGTGTTTGCTCCCAGGGTGTGTAGGCCCACCTTGCCTCTGCTTTCACAGCCCAAACTCCTTGGCACGGGCTGCGCAGGCCTCCGCCAAGACCCTGCTTTTCTGAATGGCCCATTGGGAGATCTGGGCATACACATCCCCTGGTCCAGCATGGCCCAGCTGCAGTCCCACTCACTTTGCATGACGGTATCACTGGTATATAGTTCACTCTCGCCCCGGATGCGACGAAAGCGAGGGATCTTCCCGTTGTATTCCTGCTTCCGAATTGTGGAGTACACCTCGTCCCCTAGGGACAGTGGTGGGGGGTGTTGGTAAGGGCACCTCCTTACATCCTTCCCCTAGGGCCCAGGCCAATGGACAAGGAGCTGACCATCCCTCCCCTGGCCTGGTGTAGCAGCATCCTCCAAGGGCCCCCGCAGCAGCGCTGCCTCACCTTCAAACAGTACAAGGGAGTTCTCATCCGGGCTGAAGGGGGCATAGCCTCTCATCTCACCAAGTGGCACCACAGTGCCATTCACCTGGGGTACACCAAGGGGGTTAGATGGCTGCATGATCTCATAGCCACTACCCCCCATGAGGTCTTGATTCTTGACCAGAAGGCTCTCCCTCACGGGGACTCCACTCTTGGGTAAGCCCAACCTCAAGGTTCCCCATCTCCTTCCTGCCATAAGGGGCTAAAGCCCACCCAGAAAGAGGGAGCTCAGGCATGGTGGACAGAGGTTCTCACCAGGTTCCAGCAGCTGGGGCGGCGGGCATTGGTGCCGCAGACCAGCAACCCTTCACTCCGCCTCTCCAGGAGCGTGATATAGTTGTCACAGTCCTATTCCAGGAAGAAAGACAGGAAAAGAAGTTGGGTTGGTGGAAGGCCCTGGCAGTAGGACCCTCAGTCTTGGAAAGAAGACATTAGAAGTGGCTCAGCGAAGGTGGCAGCCTCCCAGGACAGTCCAGCTGACTCCACTCCCACTGCCTCCACCAAGAACAGAGGCCTCCAGAGAGGGATAATGTCTCCTGCTCAGACTGGAGCCCCTAGGATAGTCCCACACCTCCCCCTTCAGCCTGGGGAGAATCATGCTTCCTTCCTATGAACCTCTTCTTTTTTTCTTCTTTCATGTTTGTGCATGGGGCGGGGGCTACTAGGGGATTAACCCAGAGGCACTTTACCACTGAGCTATAGCTCCCTAGGCATTTTTATTTTGAATATATATTTGTGATTTGTTTGTTGTGTTTTTGTTTTTTTATACCAGAGACTGAGCTCAGAGTCACTTAACCACTGAACTATATCCCCAGCCCTAAATTTTTATTTTGAGACAGGGTCTTGCTAAATTGCTTAGAGCCTCGCTAAACTGCTGAAGCTGGTTCCTGAGTCACTGGGATTACGGGCATATACTACCACTCCTGGCCTGCCTCAGATTCTCAAGGTTTCCTCCCTTATCTCCAAGGGGGCTGGCCACCCAAGTGCCACACACACACACATACACACACACACACACTCACCTGCCTGTCCAGGCAGGAGCCTTTTGTGGAGCCGATGTTCACCTGGGGAAGGGAAGAAGCATTAGCCCACTCTGCCAGTGGTAACATGCCCTGAAATACTATCCTGCAGCCTCAGGACAAGCCCTAGACGAAGTGACCACTATTCTCATCTTCTAGATAAGACGCACAACCCAGGCTTGGAGAGGGTAAGTAGATTTCCCAAGATTACACAGCTGTTTAGTCTGATACTAGGAGCCCAAAGCCAAGACCTCAGGAGATGGGTCATGGGTTCTGGAGCCTAACTTCCTGTCCCAGCCTTCCGGATCAGTGCTACCCACATGGCAAGTTATGTTAGTTCCCTACACCAAACTGGACCAACTTTAGGGAGCCTCTCCCAGAAACCATTTGTGGATATGGAAGTGAAAGATCCAAGCTTTCATTCCCTGAGGCTCCTCACCAGGGTCAGAGGGAGAGAAGAGGTAGTATGGGAGGGAAAAGGAAAGGAAAAGAGCGGGGTCCAGGCTCACCATTTGTACAGAGGCGTTCTTGCCCTCGGGGAAGTCAAAGAGGTAGACCTTGCCTCGACCACCGACCCACACGGAGGAGCTGCCTGGCTCATGAAAAAGCACGGTGTGGGGCTCAGTCTGGCCAAACTCCACTCGGTCCTGCCCTGCACGGCCTGAGAAGGAGGCAATGGATAGAAACATTAAGGCTAGGCTTTAGCAAAAGGACCCCGACCTGCCCCTGGCACACCAGCACTTTGTGGCAACTGATGTCTGGTGCTCAAGGCACTTGAGGCCTCAGAGACAAGGTCTGGGATGGGGTAGCACAGGAACTCAGAGAGCCATGAACAGGAGAAATAATGAGTCCCTTAGTAGGGTCCAGCAACTGGCTGTCCTCCCCCAGAGCCATAGCCACTCCCCTAGGAGGACAGCTTCTCTCTCCACTTTATATGTGACCTCAGAGTGGGGGAGGGCTTGGGGAATGTCTGGGGAGAACAGACCCCATCCCCCAAATACATGCGCACTCCTGAGGGGCTGGGCTGGAGCAGGAGGACCAGTGCTCATCAGCTCTGCTGCCACAAGACAGAACAAACAGCAGGGACTCTAAGCATACCCCTTAGAGTTCATATTTTCCCAGAATCCCTTTGTTCAGAACCCTAAGCTCTCCTTGAGGAAGTTCTGTCCAACCCCGTCCAGCCGCCCCTTAGTGGACACTAGATCAGAACTGAAGGGAATCATAACATCCACCCCTTAGTGGACACTAGATCAGAACTGAAGGGAATCATAACACCCACCCCTTAGTGGACACTAGATCAGAACTGAAGGGAATCATAACACCCACTCCCTTCCATTTCGAGGCTGGGTAAACAGAGGTCAAGGGACGGGCAGCCCCCTTGGGGCTGATGAGTAGCAGCCTCTGAACCAGGGCCTGTGCTTCTGTCCCCTGCACCATTCTGTAGCACCACCCACTGGAGCCTGGCTTCACCTACTGAGATGCCAGATCTCCTGGGGATAAGGATCAGTTCTCCCTCTCCAGCAACTCTGGGACAGGAGGACCTTCACAGAGAATAGGCTGGGCTTTCAATAGAAGAGCTGACCAGGACAATTTTGCCCAAAAAAAAAAAGCTGCAGCCGCCACCTCTAGGGAGAGGCTGTCTCATCTCCGGTGACATTGCTGAGGTTGTCCTGTTTGCAAGACTAAATTACAGGGATGGGATAGTCTGTGGCTGTGCCCTCAGCAATCATATACTGCCAGCATCTTCCCACCTCTGCTCAGCCTCGGGCCCCACCCAGGAACTTGGTCTGACCACTGTTTTTTCAGCTGCAACCAACTCTGGGACAGCCAGTTTGGCAGTGACACCCAAGTAGGACAAGCTGCAGCCCAGACAGAGAAAAACTGCCATTTCCTCAAGTCTGCCCCCAATCCCTCTTGCTGCCATTTGGGCCATTCCTACTGATCCTCCATTCAACAGGGGCAAGAAGCAGCTGGACCTCACACTTGAACGACCTACACCTTCATTTTCTTTCCTTAGAAATACGTATCGCTGTGTGGCCAAGTCATCCATGGAAGTGGATGTTTTCTTATTTGGTACCTTTGCTGTGGCTTGGCTCACTGTACAAGGGAGGAAACTGAGATACAAGCCCTGGGGTATAAGCCTCGCCAAGATCACGCTAGCAAGCTGGACAGATTGGTTCACCCAGACAGTAACAGTTCTCAGGAGCATTCAAGGGAATGTCAGCATGGTTGGCCACAGAGATGTGCCAAATTCATTGCTCTCTGGTTGGCCTGGCCCTCCTGGGGCACTCCACCAATAGCTTGACCCAAAAGCTCAGAGGAATCAGCACTCTTGGACCCCAACGCTACCCCCATCAGCCCCAGATGCGTAAGGCAGGGGCTGAGAGCCCAGCTCTGTGCTACTGGCTTGGAGTGAGCATAGGATGTTGGCAGATCTCGGTTCTGCCCGGCTCTGCCCTGCTCTGACTTAATTCTAGCTGGGGTAAAATTGGAATTCTGGGGTCGGCAGCCCACAGGCACGTGGCCTTCCTGAGTCAGATCCACAGCTCCCCTTTCACCTGCAGCCTGAGCTAGCTGCCAGAGTCCCCATTGGGCCAGCCAGCCCGGGATTCAGACAGTCTGCAGCCCCACCTCCCTTCCCGCTGCCTCCACAGCCAGCCCGGCAGCCAGGAAAACATACATACTGCATCTGGAGATGTTGGGTTGGGGTCTGAGAAATAGCACTGTGGGACAAGGGAAAGAAGTCTTAGTCCTCAGGCTGCACTGGCCAACTCCACCAGTCCCTTAGTCCCACACAAGCCCCAGGGCCATAGCCCCAGATCTTGGAGGGACAGGCAAGGCCAATGTACAACCATAGCTCTACTCATATGGGAAGAGACACCAGAGGGGACCCTGGTGAGAGCCCTTGTCTGAGGGTTTCAAGGTTATCAAAGGGAGGAGAGCAGTCCTGAGCCTGCTCTGGGGAGTCAAGCCTGATAAGTGAGGCACGGCCTGGAGGGCAGGACTGAAGGGGAGAATTGGCCCTGCTCTGGGAATCCAGGCTGAGGGTGAGACAGCTGTACAACAGGAAGCTTCTACAGCTTCTGAGGCTGTTTGGCCCTCTAAGCCAAACAGCCTCAGAAGAGAGTCCAGGGCTGCTCATGAAGTATATGCTGACGACATCAAGGGAGGGAGAAGGTTGCCGGCTGCTGGGTGAGGGTGATGGTGGTGGGACCAGGACTGTCCTGTGTGGGTCTGCAAGCCTATTCCCCTCAAACGCTGGCTGTAATGGCTACAGTAAGGGAAGACAAGGTCTGTTCATCCCATTTTGCAGAAGAACAAACTGGACCCCAGGATCATTGCCTCCTGTGACCCCCAGGTTCCTGCCTCTCCTGGCTCTGTGCCTGGTGATGTGTATGGAATGGGGTGGGGGGATGGCACCAGCTCGGCCCCAGGACAAGACCTTGGCCCAATCTCCACCACAGCTCCAGCCCCGGCTCCTGCACTGCCCGAGGCCCTCAAAGGGCCTGATTGTGCTGGGGAAGTGTCAGAGCGGCAGCTCAATGAATACATGAAAGGAAGCTTTGTTCAGGTCAGCAGGAGAGGGGGCTGGGGGCTCAGGGGCAGGAGGGCTGCCTGGAAGTGAAGGCAGCACCAAGCCATCATGGCCAGGATCTGTGGCCCGGCTGGATCAACACGAGAGAGCTTGGCCAGGGGAGGGGACAGACTTCAGGTTTCTGCCCAGGCAGGGTCTGACCAAGGCTGGGGACTGCCTTAAATAGGCCCAGGCCAAGGGAGGAAGTATCACATCATTAAAGAATTTATTTTTTGCTGGCTTATGAACCCAAAGGGATGGGGAGGCAAATAAAAGCTAGATGGGCCAGAAAGCAGGGTGAGGGGAGGGACCCCAGGCAGGACAAACAGCCTAAGCAAAGGTGGAGAAGCTGACAGTATGGTAGGTACAGAGACAGAGGACACGTGCTACAGCCTAGCAGAGTTCTAACGAGAGAAGAATCGGGAAGGTGGGCCCTGTGTGATGGGGGAGGGGAGAAGCAGACAGCCCAAGGACACACTGACCCACTGTCCATCAGTCTCCCCTGCTGCCTTCTCCTGAGGAGCAGGGCCAGGAGTGGGAATGCCTCCCCTTCCTCTGGCATCCCCCCACCTCCTGGCTCCCTCTGCTTCCCATCCTGTGTCTAAAAGGAGCACCGTCTGGCACCGTGTCTCCCCCCTCACTCCCCGGCCTGACGCATTAGTGGCTGACTAAGTGGTAGCTAAAAGCTCCCAGAATAACCAGGGGTTCAGGCAGAGGAGGGGGCTAGGGGCACATGGGGAGGACATGGCCCAAAGGCAGGCTGGGCACAAGAAAACCCACCCCCACTCCATGTGATTCCGAGCCAATCCTTGCTCTGCTAGACTAATAAAGAGGACACTCAGGATGCCCTAAACCTAGCCAGGCCCCATGTCTCCTGAGTCCGCACCACCTCAAAATGGCAGGGCCTACAAGGCCCAGCTCCAGCTCCGGACAGATATAATAAGGGTCAAGTGGGAGGTGGTCTTACATAGATACAGCGCCCAGGTGGAGGGCTCTGATCCCGCTGAAAAGAATTTGGCCGGGCAAGGCACCATGGTGCACACCTATAACCTCAGCAGCTCAGGAGGATCATAGGTTCAAGGCCAGCCTCGGCAACTTAGTTAGACCATATCTCAAAAAATAAAAAGGGCTGGGGATGTAGCTCTAGGGGTAGAGTATCCCTGGGTTCAATGCCCAGTAACACACACACACACACACAACAATCAGCCCTGATTCCTCTTACCACACCCCACTGTCTCAGTAATGGACTGACTAGCAAATTGGCTGCAGACCCCGCAGGGTGGGGACAAAACAGGTCTGCCTGGAGGGACGTCATTCTTTGTATTCACCCTGGTCCCCACTGTCCTCATTGCTTGTAAAACAGGAAGGCATCCTAAGAGGAGGGCAGAGAGGGGTTGCTGTCCACAAAAGAGGCATCAAGGGCTGGTCTAGTCTGGCAGGGAGAGTCTTCCAACACGACCCACCAACCCAGTGAACCTTGAATGCTCACCTCAAGAAGCCCTTTAAAAGTGGGCAGAGAGAATGGCAGGAATGTGGGCATCCCAGCAGGAAACACTTGAGTCAGACAACCAAGGAGCAGGAGCCAGGCCACTTCAGGTCGGGAACCCAGCCACCCACCCACAGTTTTTCCATCTTGCATTGCTGGGCCCCCTTACACCCTGGCGTGGCCAGAGAGAAGAGTTATGGGCCACATGGATCCCAGGAATTAGTCTGCAGCTTCTCCACCCTCAGGAATACCACACCCTTCAGGTCAAGGTGGAAAGGAGGGAATCCAAACAGTCACTGAGCTGAGGGGGTTCCAGAGGCCAGAGAGGCTCTGCCACTGGCCCAACAACACACAGCAAGGGAGACTGAGGATTCTGGAATCATTACCTCGCTGTATCTCTCCAGTCACACGTCCTAGACTTCTTGAGAGCCTCTGATTTTCAAAAAAAGCTGTCTTACTCAGTCTCTTTCTCTCTACTTCCCTGCGTCATCCCTCTCCCTACCCTTCTCTTCCTTGTTCACTAGGCGCCAAGTCACTAACCTGACAACTAAAGGGAATCACCCGCCCACCCACCTTCCAGGTGGGGCCCTGATCTCCCAGG